TAAGATTATATTGCAGCCCTTGTTGATGCGGCTCGGAGAGGAACATTTCTAGATCTCTCATATCAATTCACTTACAAACAAGCTGATCGTGTTGGTTGCATTTCGGTATAGTAGGGCCCACACTGCATGTTTTCTAGCAACCGTAGCTTTTAATTGTTTTGGTTTACTTTCAAGAGATATAAATTCATTAATTCGCTAAAGTTTCAATAGTTTTGATAGATCGTGCTGGAACGTGTTACACAGTGCCTTCATTATATTAGTCCTATTACCTTACATGAGTTCCACTGACTTAATTTGTTTAAAGGTGACCTTGATGGAGAGTTGCAAGTGAAATTTTGCATATAGAATTTGGGTGTGGCGCTACTAGGGACCATGATTTATAGATTGCACATTTCGATACGAATGTTCATTAACGCGGTAATGCATTAGATTTATTGTGATGTTGATAATGAAGAGGCAACCAGAAGAAAATTTAGAGAGGTTATAGTACAGCCATGTTTCACACCCGTTCTAATTTGTCACTTTTGCCTCTACCTGTAGTGTAACAAAATGGAGCTCCAAAAGACAACAACAAGCCCACAGGTTCCATAATTTTTAAAATACTTAAAGTTGTTTTTAACGTCAGAAATAAAGGCAAGAGACATGAACTTCAAAACAAAACAAAAACATCCTGTACATATATTATTAAAGATAAAGAAATCCCCAGCAACAAAACTTGTCAATCGAGGAAGAAGAAGAATAAGAATAAGATGTAGCACAGTTCTACCTCATAATCTTTCTTTTTAACGGCGTATTCCAGATCGAACTTGACATCCTCCAACGAGCTGATTCTCTCGTGGTAGTCCTGGAGGATGCGCGTAATTGTATCTGCGTCGGGGAGACACACACACATACAGACAAACAAATTAGTAACAAAAGTGACAGACTGTATGAGACTGAATCGCTCAGGAAATGAAGCGTTTACTTAACCTCAGCCATTCTTCAGTATACGATAGAGAAAGTTTTAAGTAAAGTAAATAAAGCTATCCCTGCAGCAGGCTGTGGAGGCTTATAGGGTTGTGAGATGTTGAGGTTCCCACATTTTCTCGACATTCGGCTCATAGATGGCGGTAAGTTTGTCAGCCTTACACGCCGGCAACCTTCTACACCCCAAGAATATTCCTGGTGCTCTTTTCTGTTAGAGGCTGAGTCGACCCCAGGGCCATAGTGTGACTGGAAGAGCTAGGTAAATTAAAACAATGCACCTCATAGCAAGTTAAATGCCAGAAGAAAATGTATATCATAAATGCATAACATAATATTTTGACGTGTGCATCATATGACTAGTGCAGAAACCCAGTTTCTAAGTGGATAACATTTCCAAATATTTATTCATGAAGTTAATTATGTTGCGCTGTTAAAAAGGCTCCCAGACAAATGAATTATTCCTACAATTAAGGCTGTTGGACTGAAGTTCATTCATTCATTCATTATTGGTGGGGGTGGGTTTCCCCATGCACCGCGACCAGTTGTTGATCTATTGTATGTCCTCCTTTGATATTCTACCAGTCGCCATACTCTTCCGGTACTGGTGCTCGCTATCAGCCCCGTTCAGCCAGCGAGTTCGGCCCCTCTACTGGCAGTGGTACCTCCGCCGGGTTTGAACCCGCGTACCTTTAGTCATGAGGTGGGAACTTTACCCCTAGACTACGGAGGCCGCTTTGAACTGAAGTTACTTTAACTTAAATGTAAGCCTGCATGAGTACATCGTATTTACTTTTGTTCAGAGATAGAAATTTTCCGTTACATTAGCGATTGATGTTGGCAATGTTAATCATTTGAAGTCATTTCTCTTTACGCAATTCGCGAAAGAGATTTGAAGGCGGGAGCTGGCGGCCATATTAGAAACCAAGAGCAATGGCGTTTCTAAAGAACAAACGCGACGTTAATTGGTGGGGGGGGGGGTGCATGTGAATCATCACAACACCACGACGAAATTGGAAAAATAACTTAAAATGAAAGTCACTTATTAAAGAATTAGTCTCAGATGACTGAAAACATTAATGACGGAGTCAGCAAGGTACTACAGAGATAGGGTGAGAAGAATTCAATCCATGGAATGCTCTCTGACATCCCTTCCAAACTTTTTTTTTTTACCTGGGAAACGGAAACATGAGCAAGTCGCCACAGTAATGTGAATTTTGTTGCAATCCCGACAACGGGGTTCTCTTCTTCACAGTCAATGAAATTTCCCACTCATTCACTGGTCAAGAAAACAACAAATGGAATTTAAAATATGTGCCATTCTACAAACATTTAAATCAATGACAAGCTGATTAAATAGTTCCATGGAGCTGCACTCTTTGGGAAGCTAATCGTCGCTCAGCTACTCCAGGAACTTCCTGCTTTTTACTGAAACTGCAGTTGATTTCAGTCCTCACAAAAGCACACCACTGGGCCCTGTCCCAGTTCAGATGAACCTAGCCCACAACCTTCAAGATTCAGCTGTTATCCTTGTATCTAAACGAGACCTCTTCGGGTTTCTCAATTAAAATTAGACATACATTTCTTAACTTTCCCTTGCTTGCTACATAAACCTCCAATCTCATTGTCTTGATTTTATTTTCTTCATTATATCTTCCTTAGCGAGACACACCAAGCTTCCCCCTCCCATAGAATTACAGGCAAAACAGAGAATAGTGTATTTTAAGATTTACATCTTAAGACAGCAGATGGAGAGACGAAGGGATTTGAACTGAACTGCAGCAAGTATTTCCCATCTTGAGCTTTTCCTCACCAGAAAGGAATTTCCCCTTACAAATACACATCCGTTTTCCACTCCTCAAATCAGATGACTGATGACTCACCACGACGTAGAAATGAAGCTCTCACTGTGTTTAACTAATTAAGCGACGCACCATGAAAACACATGGGGCCATTCTAGGCCTAGGCACTAGATCGAAGTGAGTAGTCAGCTTTACGCACCGGCCGCTTTGCACCAAGGAAATAGCCCCCCCCCCGTTTCCGGGTGTCTACGAGACTGGTTGGACCCCAGCGCCCCAGATCTGAATAAGAGAGAAATCTCACCTGCTGGGAATCGAACGACGATTCCTAGGCCCTCCAGCCCATAGCCGGTATCTATACCCACTGAGCTAGCTCGGGTCCACAAAGCCTGACAGGGAAGTGAAAATTACTGTAAAACAAGATGACGGATATCCAACAGAGCAAGATGCTTGAGACAAGTGAATCAATGCAATATATTCTGTTTAGCTATTCACCCAGACAAGCATTTGATAATTGTGTGTACTGCACAATGTTTCTGCTTCCGTGCTCCATGCTTTGCATGATGAAATCTCTGAAGCCGCCGATGACCACACTCTCTACTCGCAGGCTCTGAAAAGAGAGTTCGTTGTGGCTGCTGGACAGGCGGCGCTGCTGTGATGCTGCTAGACGAACTGAGGGTCTTCATGTTAAAAGCATGGACACAACAATGGACTTGAGCATTTACATAACTGCACTGCAAACATCTTGATATCTGTCAGCTTCTATTGGTTGATGAACTACTGTTATCTGCAGATATGTATAAATTAATGTATGTTTTGCCATGAACGAATTAATTCAGTGCATATACTGAAGTGTCTCCGGTCTAGAAAACCGAAATTAACGGCCGTGGGAATTCGTTGCGCTGACCACGCGACACTCTCTATCCGCTAAAGTTGGCACTAACTTCGCCGACAAGCGGCGGTCGCTCGGTCGGTACAATTCGCTTGCGGACTAAAACCACGGAGTTTATTTTGTTTTAATGATGTGTCGACTTTCCAATCCTTCAGTCCAGACATTAAAGTGGTCCAGTCAGAAGAATGGATCCGAATGTTGTAGTGTTTACTGCAAATCTGCGCATGCGTGACCCTTCTATTCCAAACTTAAGCCACTTGATATTTTATCAGTCTCTTTTTTCAGTTTATTTTTACTCGTTAGTTTGGGCTACGCCATAGTTCAAGCGGTTAGTCGTTGGCTTCCCACCGCGGCGGCCCGGGTTCGATCCCGGCTCTGGTCAAGTGAGATTTGTGCTAGACAAAGTGGCACTGGGGCAGATTTTCTCCGAGTACTTCGGCTTCCCCTGCCAATCTTTATTCCACCAAATTCTCCAGCATCATAATGACCCGGGGCAGGCTACAATAGGCCAATCAGTGGCCGCCGTGCCGAGTAGACCCAGTATGACTCCACCCCCCATTAAGGGAATTAAAAGAAAATACTCGTTCGTTTAATCTGTTGTAACTAATCCATACTGCTTCTTGTTGGATTTATAGCTTATCAGGACTTAAATGTACAGTTTTTAGCATAAGAAGCGGTCGGACAATCCAAGGATCCATGTCATGGAAGAAAAACTGAAGTAAATAAAAGGTAAAGCTATTCCTGTAACAGGCCTTGAAGGCTCATAGGGTTGTGAGACGTTGAGGCTGCTACATTCGGCTCACAGATGGCGGTGAGGTTGTAAGCATTACGCGCCGGCCGTCCTGTACCCCCAGTAAGATCCCTGGTACTCATTTCTGCTGAGGCTGAGTCAATCTCTGGGCCATAATGCGGCTGGAAGAATTAGATCAATTGAAAAATCTAATGACCTCATTGGGAACAGATTCGTGACCTCCCAGCTTATAGCATAGTACCTGAACTAACTACACTACCGCGTGTCCCCACCACCCTTGGATCAAAGCTAAAAAACATGCACAAAATATAAAATTAAAGTTATTAAAATAACGTTATTCTGCCCTCAATATTATATGGAGATTATTAAAATTAGTATTAAACAGTTTGAATGTCTTTCCATTAAATTTTCCGGCTGTCCTCCTGCCAGAAATTCCTTGCGGTGACCATGGCCATGGCTGAGGTACCTGTAACGGATGAGTAGCCTTTAATTCGATATGTGCAGTGGGCTCGCTCCGTCGCTGCACTTGCGCATGCTCCTGTTTTCATAGTCGCACCGTGACAAGAGGAATATGTTATTACCACTTTGTCCTTACCTTCATTAGCGTCGTCAACGTTTTTCGGCTTTCCGCAGCGTTGATCAATGATCCTCTTCCTCTCAGCTGCCTTCCTCTCCTGCTCCTTCTTCAGCTCCTCGGCGGCCTTCTTTCTCAGCAGCAACTGCACGAGACATCGGTCATACATTGTGAAGCAATAACATTATATACTTGATTGTGTTTCTCATACAAAGTCTTAGCTAGTTCATCAAGAAATAAATAGGAATATCCCTACGTGCACATGTCACGTGATGGTGTTTGGATTGATAATAGGACTTACTGGACTTTTAAACAACACGTAACTACACTTCGCAAATCACATTCACACACAGACTAGTGTTCTCAGTTACGGGCTTCACTGCGTTGCTTGGTAACGGCATCCAACAGTGGACGTTCCGCCACTCTCGGACTGGCGCCAATCTCACACCCACCTCTTGTTATTCTAACTGCCGTCTCAGGACTCTCTCGTAATTTCAGCTAGTCATCGCTAAATAGCATCGGTACGGACCGCACAGAAAAAATATTTAATTCATTGTTGCGTGTTACACAGCTGTTACCTAGCAATGGCTGTTTCCCTGGCTCCACAGTTCTTGCTTTGAGCGAATACGTCACAATATAATCTATCTACTATGGGAACGAGGGTGCGTCATGGTCTGTTACTGACGTAGACTATTAGAGAGTTACTGGGTACCATTTCCAGCATATTGTGGCATGTAAACCCGTTGCTGGGCAACGACCACAAGGTAACCAATACTCAGTAAAGGCTTCACAAACAAGCATATCTCTACGGCGACAATTGAACTACAAAATGAGCAACTGTGTTTTCTGTGCTCTTAGTGTCGAAATGTTATACACAGGGTAATCGATGGAGTCGGTTGAGTTAGCTGAGTTGAGTGAGTGAGTTAGTTGAGTTGAGTGAGTGAGTTAGAGAACTGCTGAGGTCCAGTCCTTGTGAGCTGTTGCTGTGAGAACCTGATAGCTGAGGTCGGAGACAGTTAGGGAACTCAGAAGAAGGGAAACGTCCGTAGTTGGAAGCTGCTATCAAGCAACGGTTAGTGAAGACGTAACTGTGGACACTAATGTGTGTATAACAGTGAAATGTAAAGAGTAAATTACTTTTAAACTATGTAAGTTTTGAGGTTTTCACGGCGATGACAATGAAGAAGACGACTTTCTTTACTTTTAAACTGTTCCTGTCTCAACATAAAAACTATCAAAAACTCTCTGATACTTCACCATGCAACAATGAGTTTACTGCTCTTATAGTAATAAAACGCACTACATATTTGGGCCCCTAAAGTCTTCATCAGGCGCAATTCAATGGTTTAATAAATGTACCGCCTGATGAAGGCTTTAGGAGCCGAAACACATAGCACGTTGTAATACTATAAGACCAATAAACTCATTGTTGCACGGTGAAGTGTGAGTGAATACATTTTTATTGTTGTTGTGTTCAAACAGGAATAATTTACAAATAATTTATAGAATAACACAACAGTATGCATTCCTTGAAGATGAAGGATGTAGAGTGTAGTCACGCGCTGTATCAGAGAGTCCAGTAAATCCGACCATGGTCACACTCTTAAACGTGACAATACTTTGCTATTCTTACGCCACTGGGAAATTCAAACATACTCACACGGGACTTTTCTTGCGTAAGGGTTTCTACATGTAGAACCTACACTGGTTCTTAGAGTAGGTGGACTTTGTCATGATCAAATGGGAAATGTAATTCGCCATCTTTGCCGTACACAGGTTGCACACTTCGCATAGTTCCGACCTGTTCGTCAAGACTGCTAAGAACAGCCACACTGATGTGCTCAACATAAATACTGCTTGAGTCATCAGATTGCTTTGTTAATGAAACATTCACAAACAGAATGCGGACATTTTCTTGCTT